TTGTGGCTACTTCCCATTCTAACTGACACTAACTAGTTGCTAAGCTCAGTTATTTCTATGCTGTTGAAGGACTGAAAATGCTATCACTTCTCCCCTCTAAATTTTGGCAGCCTGGATGAAAGTCCTGGTTGCCTCACCGGAGTTATAGCTGTGAGGCCCACCATACTTGCACCATTCAATTTTGTTTAAATGCTCCTCTGCTGTCATGGTGTGGACTAGGAATTTTATAGAACAGCACAAATTCACCTTCTAGAACTGGAAAGTATGCCATAAGAGAACAAGGCAGCTCAGACAGAATCAGGAAGATGTTCAAGATTTGCCTTTGACTGCCTCCTGGCTGGGTGAACCCTGGAAAGCCACTTAACCCTTAATGCCCCAGGCAAAGCATTAAAGCTCTGGTTGCAGGACAGGTATAGATTTGTATTGATAGAGGGAGTTTCCTCACTGTGAACTCTGGCCTTCTTCTCACCCCTAATTGCTCTGTGTTGTTCTGTCTTTTCTCCTCTTGCTATGCCACTTTTAGCCTGGATTATAGAATTAGAGCTGGTTGGAACTTTAAAGGCCATCTGATTTGTGAGGCCCCTTCATTTTACAGGTGATGAAACTGAGGTCCAGAGAGATTGTGATTTTTGAATTACAGGCACACAGTGCATTAATGGTGGAGGTGGGATTTAATCCTAGGTCCTTTGATTTGGAATCCAGTGTTGTTCCCACTTTGCCTTGTTACCTATTTTATTTTGTTTCCTCTTGTTGTTGGTAAAATTTTGAAATATAGCTGCCCATTTGAGTATAGTCAGTCAGACTCCTAGAGAGTTTCTTCCATCACCTAAAGCAAGGTGAAAATGGCTGTTTATTGCCCAGTTTTGTTCACATCCTGCAGCTCTTAGAATGACTAAGTGCCATTCTAACAAGGTTGTGTCAGGTATCGGAGTTGGGCTTATTGTTATTAATTTGTTAAGCATGGCATGAATAGAAATTCATCCACAGGCTGTTAGCTGGGTTTGAATCATATGCAATTTCTTCATTGTTTAAAGACCCAAAGTCCAATGAGGGATGTTAGGTATTTATGTTAGCAACCCCAAGCTTGGCATTCCCCATTGAGACCTCAGATGAATGGACAGACATGAAAGTCATAATCAGATTGTTCTTATCAATTACATAGCAGAGGCCAGTGAAGCCAGATAGCGTCTGATCCTGGTATTCATGCCACCTGATGAACAAATATGTTTTTTAAAAGCAGTTCACTTTTCCCCTCTGCACATCCAGCTCAGATTCTATTATGGAAGTATATAACAATATTTAATTTTTTAAAATCAGCATTCTTTTCTACCTCCCTGGATAAAATAATAATTTACCATTCCTTTATCAGCCGATGATCCTTTGTAATATGATATTAACTCCTTTAAAATATTAACTCTAAATTGGTACTTTTTTCTCTTCTCAGTTTTTTATTTTTCATTCTGGTGCTAGGAGAGCTTAGTGCCTTATTCTCTGAATTTTAAATTATACTATTTTTAGAAAGAAAACCCTTTCCCGACAACCCTTCGGAATCCTTCACCACAGAAATATAAATGAAGTATTTAGGCTAACTGAGAGGCAGGCCAGTATAAGGGATAGAGGACTGGCCTTAGAGTCAGGAAGATCTGGGTTCAAATTCTGCCTTCAATACTTAGTTGGTTTCATTACTCTCAGCAAGTCACAGTCTCTAAGTCTCTCCAGTCAACTCACTAAGACGATAAACTATAGCTGAATTGCAGATAGTCAGTGGTGGGAGGAGTTTTCAAGTCAGGGATTCCTGACATGCAAAATTCTACATTTGGCTATCTCCTTTTACTCCAAAAATACAGGCTTACTATTTTCAGTAATAACAGTAGTAAGATGTTCAGTGAGTGCAGAGATGGACTCCATTGTTACTCTGGCCATTTCTTCTGAGTGTTAGGCCCTTTCAAGGTGACCCACTTTCTTCGCCCTTCTTTTTCCCTTTCTTCTTTTTCACCCTTCACATCTTTGCCCCCATCTAAATGCTCCCTCCTTGTTCGGTGAGTCCGATTTGGCACCTTGACATGACTAAGATTGGCTTTCCTGTTTCATGACTCTATTTTCTCCAGGTTCAGAATCCCCTCAGTCATAGGTAGCCTACATTTGGCAACTCCTGCAGAATCTCTTCAGCAGAGGCATGGATTTCTCTAAGATTGGAGGGCTAGCCCATCTTTGTGGATCCCAAACACGCCTGCTTTCTTGAAGGAGAGTGGCTCATAAGTGGTGGCAAGTTTCACATGGAAATATCCAAAAGGATTATTTCAAACCTGGATCTTCCATGGTATTAGAACCTAGGGAGGATTCTTCAGCCTCAATATAAATAGTACCCAACGATTTAATGACATAATGTGAATTTTTATGGGGCTCATCTAATTCTAAAGCCAGATTGCTCTTTGAACACTCTGTGATAAATCTTCACTCACTCTCTGGAATTGTTTAACACACAGGTTAATTTCCCTCTATTGATTTTCTCAGCTATGCATCTTGAATGCTTCAAGATCTCTTGACCTACACAAAATCTCTGGGTGACTGTCAGTTTAAGAAGAAAAGCTCTTCACAAGTACACTTGAAAATTCAGTAAAGAAAACTAAATGAATCAGCCCCATTCTTAGGCAGGACAGTTTAACTGGACGTTGTAGTTGGCTGTCAAAGATAGAGGAAATCTTCCAAATATATGAGCTGTCTTGTGCATTAATTAAACTTTCCAAAAGTGAATGTTGATGCTGTGAAAAAATGTAATCGGAACATGAGGGAAAGTATTCACACTGGAGGGAGAGAGGAAGGACAGGAGAAGTGAAAGAGAGAGAGGGAGGAAGGGAGAAAGGAATAGGGGGAGGGAGAAGACAGCTATGCAGGAAAAGTACTGCTTCTGGCATCAGATCTGGTTTCAAATCTCACCTCTGATGCTTAAGTATGTATGACCTTGGTCGAATCAATTATGGTCTTTGGACTTCAGTTTCCTTTTCTGTTAAATGAAGAGGTTGAACTAGCTGAGCTCCAAATCTATGATTCCTGACTATATATATGGTATGATATTGTGGTGATGTTATGGTACATAAAGGAAGCAGCATAGGACTGATTATCAGTTAAGAAGCCAGGATTCTAGTCCTGATTTTGTCATTAACTGTGACCTTAGGATATTGTATTTGAGTCAAAAAAAAACCAGGTTTGACTTCTGTTTTCTGCCCCTAAGTGACTTGTGTGTCCTTGAGCAAGACATGCAGCCTCTTTGGGGCTCATTTTCTTCATTTGTAAAAAGAGGGGGTTGAGGGAGAAGACCTCTAAGGTCCCTTCTAGTTCCAATGAATATATGAATCCTGGGCAAATCACTGAACATCTCCAACTTCAGTTTTACAATCTGTAAAATGGACGTGGATTTATTATAACTTGTAACTCTCAAATTCTATGATTCAGGATCCAACATAATATGTTGAATTGTGTGAGAGCTGAAAAATAGAGGTCCCTAGAAAAGAAAGGAAAAAAGGAAGAAAGGAAATGGTCTTCCCATCTGCCTAGAGAGACTGAGAAATGCCCCACTTGTACAATTCTGTCACATGAAAAGGCACTTTAATGTTTGTTTTGCCCTAGTGCCAACAAAAATGACCTCACCTTTGAAATACTATGCCATTAGCAGAAGGTGGTATCAGAACTCCATTATTAATAGAATTTCCACAACGTAATTCTAAATGTAACAAACACAAGCAAAGTAACTCTTCTCCTGAGCTCCTAGTATTGTGCAAACTGTACTGCTGGAAACCCAATTGTCTCAGTTAATGACTGGGAGTCAGGCCTTATTCCAATTTAAGCATCTCCTCATAGATACTAAAGAAATTATACCATATCAATCTTACTCCATTTCCTGCCTTAGTAAATGTTAGGATTAAATAAGAATCAAACGATTCAAGGCTCTAAAGAGAATGGAAAGGTAAATATAGACTTCCTGAGGAAATCCTTCTCCAAAGTGCCATATTGTTTTGCATCTCCTGTGACATATTTCTCTCTGGCCTTGTACTACATGACGAATTTGAAAGTTAGCTGAGTTAAGTAGTATGCAACTTCATGACAGATTCCAGCTGTTAAAAAAAATTCCAGGTTTAAAAAAACCAAGAGAATGGACTTTATTTCCTCAATTGTGAAATAAGTGGTCTGGATGGAATATCACCTGCCTCCAGTTTTTAGTGGAGGCTGAGGCCTGAGTTTGGGAGTTCTTAACTGCAGTAGGCCTAAAGCTACTTAGGTGTCCACATTAAGTCTGGCACCAATATGGTGGGCCCCTGGTAGTGGAGGGCTGCCAGGCTCCAAAAACAGAGCAAGTTAAAGCTTCCCAACCAAGCACTACTGGGATTGGGCCCATGTACTTTCAGCCTGGGTGAGATACCCAGTCTCAAAAAGTAAAATTCAATGATCTAAGATTCTAGGAAGCTCTAAAATCAATTTCATTACTTCAGCAATGAGTACTGTGTGGACTGCATGTCTGTTATATCAGGACCAGTTAGTCTAGCTAAGCTTAGAAGAAGATCATCATCAGGTTGGTTCCAAGATGACCAAGTTTTTGGCCATAGCCATTCTACTATTCACCTTCCATTCAGTTATAGGGGAGTTTTGAATTGTGTTGGGTAGATGGAGTATACACACCAATGGAATGATAGCTCTGGAAAGCATGGCCATGAAAAAAGTCCAAATTCTAAGTCCTTAAACCCTCCCTCCTTTCTTCTCCCTCCCGCCATTTTAGCGACAAACAGATAGGAGTACTATAAAGTCAGCTGCAGCAGTCTAAGGGTTAAACCTGCTTAACCCATTTTTATTAAGAGAATGGCACCAAAAGTATAGTTTATCCACTTGTGGGGATAGCCTACGATCCCTGAAGTGGGGCTAGTTCTAAACCTGTGATAGCTTCAGGTTTTCCATAGCAGTCATGCACTCAGTTTTTTTCCCTTCCCTGGCCCACCCCTCCCCCAATTAATAGCATCCATTCATAGCTACTCACTACTGCAGGATTTGACCTGAGAAATGCTAGGATTTTGTTTCACTTTATTAACTCACAAGTTGTTTTGAAAAGTCCTTATTAAAGTTTGCCCTTGACCAGCAAGGGAAATGCCAGTCTGTAGTTCTCTGAAGCAGCTGGTGAGGTTCTCAGCCAAGTGGTTCAGATGCAGGAAGTCCATTGTGGCAACTTACTGGGCTGTGCCATGGCATCTCCTTAATCCTTTAAACAGGCTTCCTGGATCTAGGAAATTAATTCCTGACTCCTTCGACCCAGATGCCGCTGGCCAAAATTTCATTTGCAATCTGCATGTCATTGTCTTCTTTGTCCTCCTTTCTTTCTAAGAGCTGATGTTGCTGCTCACTTTTTCTAAAATAGTCATGTTAATGTGTTCAAAAATCCACTGCTGAGTCTCCGAGAGAGGGTCACATCTGTTCATGAAAATCTTTTTCTCTGATGGATTGCAATCAATGCAGCTGTTGCTCACTGGATGGAATAAAGTTTTGTCCTAGAGAGACCAGAAAGAAAAAAAGAGACTGAATGACAGGTACCTAGGACATATTCTGGGATTCTTTCCTCAAGTAGGATTAGAGAGCACAGTTGGACAGATTTTGTTTCCTTTGTGTATCTTACTTTTCAGGAGATGACTAGTGTTAAAATAAGAGACAAACCACAAAGCTGAAGGCCTGGGTTTTTAAAAGGGTTTCCTTTCAGGGCACTGTGTCATCGTTTAGAACTTCTCAGAAGGATCATAGGTACGGAACTGGAAGAGACATTAGCCTAGAGGTCATGAAAAAAAAAAAGAGGCAAAGAAATTAAGTGGCAGAGCTGAGATTTGCATTTTGGTTCTGGGACTCCAAATCTAGCACCCTTGCTACCACACTGTCTCAACTCCTGGGAGTCCGTGAGGAAGGTTCCATAGTTAATCCATAGTGAGAGGATACACCATTTGTTTCCCTGACAAAATACAACAAGCTTTTTTGTACCTGCTGAGGCTTTGAAGCCGAAGGCTTAGTAGTTCTTGGAAGGTGAGTTCTGAGATAAGGGCAGATCTGACAGATGTAAGCTCCTAGAGTGAAAGTCTAATTAGGGAGCAAATCTGTTATCTTCAGTTGGCTCTAATTGTCTTCTTTTTAAAATTTTATTGTATAAATAGGGAAAAGGAAGTTGGTATTGAAAGGAAAAGACTTCACCTTGATTAAATAAGATAATAAGGCTTACTCTAAATCTTAAAACCCTAGGTATAAATGTCAGCTGTTACAGATCTGGCAGAAATAGGACTTTTCTGTGGTACTAGAGCTGGTGAGGGAGAATGTGGCAGAGTGAAGAGAGGTCTGGCTTTTCAGTGAAGAAGACAAGGTTTCAGGCAACCCCTCTGACATATACTGGCTGTGTGATTCTGGGCAGCTCCCTAAGACTATAAGTTATGGAAGATCTGCATCCAGTGAGGGTCTTCCTCTCCCAGATTGATTTACTTATGAAGGCAAATTAGGCCATTTTTTGCCTCCATTCTTACCGAATGGATATTGCCTCAGACAAACTGAGACCTGGGAAAGACCTGGCTTAGAAAGGCCAAGACTCCTACTCTATCAGGGATATTGCCAGGCATCTTGACCTATGTCTTGCCACTGGACCCCGATGACTCTGCACAGCTCTGCCTCACTCAAATCCAATTCATTTGCAAGGCAAGACATCATTCTCCTGATGTCATTGGTCCTCTTCGAAAACGAAGGACAAACAACAAAAATCCAATGAGAGACTTCAGTTCTAGAGGCTCCCAACACCTAACAAGTTGTAGGCCTGGGCCAAAAAACAAAACAATTGTACTTAAAGTGCTATCATAATGAAAACCCAAACCAGTGATTAACCTCAGGTATGGGATGTTTAAAAATAAATAGTTTATGTCTTTAGCACTTTACAAGAAGAAAGAAAGGAAATAAGCATTTATTAAGTGATATGTGTCAGGTACTGTGCTAAGTACTTTATAGATATTAGCTCATTTGATCTTCACAACAAACCTGGGAATAGCTGCTAGTAAGAGCTCCATTTGACAGTTGGGGAAACTGAGGTTGAGTGACTTATCCAGGGTCACACAGCTAGTATCAGAGGTCACATTTGAATTCAGGGCTCTATCCACTTTGGCACCAGATTGGTATTATAAGGTAAAACGCACTTTCCTGAAGCCTAACCCTAGGGCAGTGATGTCAAACTCCTGTAGAAATGGGACCCACTAAACCATAGGCTGCGTAGTGACTTAGAAAACCACATATTTACATTATCTATATTCTATTGTGTTTTTTTTTTTCATTTTGTTTAATATTACCCAATTACATTATAATCTGGTTTGGGCTGCATGCTGGTCACAGGCTCCTGTGTTTGACACTCTGCCTTAGAGTATTATTACCTCTCTTTTACAGGTAAAGAAACTGAGGCTCAGAGAGGAGATTCTAGGACTTTTGGACACTTTAATGCTTTTTCCCCTACTTTACAAGGCCTGTTTTCTTTCATTGTGTGGATCTGTGTGTGTGTTAGAAATATTGACTATTTTCCTCTGACCATGGAACACGACCCTGCCCCCCCACCCTGGGATGGAGAACTTTTCAGGTACTCCATGTAAACATTTCCAAGTGGCTCTCCATTTTCAAGAATCTGTTTGCCAACATTTGATACCACCCCATCCTCCAGATTGTTATATGCTCAATGTATGGAGTGTAGGAACAAACAAGACCTTAAGGGAGGGGAAAAGACTGCCTTTCCTTGGTTTCCACAGGTAGGTTAAATGTGAAGAGTTTTGCAAAATACAAGAGGCATATTATTTTCCCTTACTCTATTTAAAGTGCAAATGGAGCCAGGGTTTCCTAGGTTGTTTCACTTATGGGGTGCAAAGCTCCTAACATCTAATTCTGGTCTGATCAAGATTTTCTGACTTTTCTCTTTACCTCTTCCCCTTCTCCTACCTGTACATGGTATAAAGGAACACTGAAGAATGCCATCTATCATCAGAGGGAAGAGAAGGAATGGGATGATTTAAAAAAGGAGATAAAGAATGTGGCCTATATCTACATTAGGGGTCCTCTTCTATGAGATCACAGATCCCTTCAACATAGCCAGGTAAGTCCTTAGGTAGTGGTTTCATGCACCTATTTTTTCCTTCTGATCCAGACTGGAATTCCATTGTGATTTTCTTTTCTCTACAACTTGAACCATAGGATATATAAGGCATCTTTTATAATTTTGAGTTAGAAGGGCCCTTAGAGGTTTTTGCAACATGCATCTCTGATAAAGCCCTCATTTCTAAGATCTTAAATTTATAAGAATAAGAGCCATTTCCCAAATGAAAAGTAATCTAAGATATGATCAGGTAGTTCTCAAGAGAAGAAACCCAGGCTACCTATAGTCATATATATTTTTTTTTAAAGCTCCAAATCACTAATAATTGGAGAGATGCTAGTTAAAGCAATTCTGAGGTTCTACCACTCACCAGATTGGCAAAGATGGTAAATGTTGGAGAGGCCATGAGAAAACAGACATATTGGTGGACCACAGAATGGATATAACCATTCCAGAAAGCAATTTGGAAAAACAAACAGAAAAACAAGGGATGCCTTTTGACCCAGCTATACCACAGCTGGGCCTATACACAGTAAAGAGAAGGTCCTATATGTATAAAAGTATTCATAGCATCTTGTGGTGGCCAAAACCCCCTGTAAACTAAGGGATTGCCTATCAGTTGGAGAATTGTGAACAAATTGTGGTATATGAATATGATAGAATGTTACTATTCTGTAAGAAATGAGGAAATAGATGATTTCAAAGAGACATGGGAAGACATATATGAAATGATATGTGAAGCAGGTAGACCTATAAGAGCAATTTATACAATAATAACACTGTAAAGACAAATGACTTTGAATGCTGTAAGAACTATGATCAATGAAATGGTCACCTATGATTCCATAGGACTGACAGAGAGGTGATGGATTTTGTTTTGTTTTACTATCTGGATTTGTTTTTCTTTTTTTTCCCGATGGGGTGGAGGGAGGGTGGGAGAAAGAGAAAACAGATTTCTGTTAACTAAAAAATGAGGTAATCTTGATGAATTACTCTCATTTTACAGCTGAGGAAACAGAGGCCCAGTGACTTAGCCAAGGTTAGAAGCAGAGCTAAGTCTTGTGTGAGACTTCAAGTTCAGTCCTTTCCTCAGTTATTAGGGTTCTAATAATTTAGCATTTTAGACTAAGAAAGATTAATGACAATTTAAAATTTACCATTCCTTCTCCTACCCATTCTATACCTCCTTAAGAGAGACTGGATTCTTATTTGTACAGCTTCTAATAAACACTGAAAATAAAATGAGAATGAGAGAAAGTTGCACTGAGGCACTCACATGGCAATACATGGGTTTGAATCCTACCTCAGATTCTCAGAGCTGTGTGATCTTAGGCAAGTCACATAACCTATCTTACCATTTGTTTTCTCATCTGTAAAATGGGGATCATAAGAGTGCCCACCTCACAGGATTATTGTGAAAACCATTTGAGATAACTTAGGTAAAAACACTTTGCAAACCTTGTAGCACTCTTTGAGCACTAGCCAATATTATTATTATATTATATTTCAAAGTTCTCATCTACCTCCTGCTCCTTCCCAGGGATATTTTCTGAGAAATATGCCTTATGTTCTTAGTAAAAATAACAATAAATATTCAAGTTTGGGCCTCAGTTTCCTCTGCTGTAAAATAATGGGGTTGAATTGGATGATCTCTAGGGTTTCTTATAGTTCCAACAAAAACAAATGACAGCATGTCAAATTAAAGATCACCAGGCACATAAGGAGACGAATGATGGCAGCCCTTGTTACAGAGTCAGCTCTTCATCCTCATCATCTGAGCACATAACTGAGTCCCTGGGGCAATGACCAAGGACAGGCATTATTAGCCTTCACCAAGGCAGACATTTTTCACTTCTGACCTTGAGGTTTGCAAAACTACAATCTTTATGTTTCTACTCAGCTGACTTTTTTGATTACCAAGTGTCTTGACTCCAGGCTGTACCTTTCTGGGATTAAATCAGGGGATCAAGTAATTGTCCTTTGAACACTCTGACAGATTTGCTATCCCATAACAAAGGGAGAAGGGAGACATTATTTCTATGCCTTAAAGTAAGCTGATCTGTGATCAGTCCTCTGGGAGTCTATATGAAGCCACTGTTCAAAAGACAACATATTAAACTAATTTTCCTTCTGAAATAGCAAAGGAATTCTCTTCCACTCCCCTTGCCCCTCCAACCAAATTGGCTGCCATGTGACTAAGCCAGAGCTCTGGGAATAGAGAATCCAAAAGCCTTAGATATTTGGCTAGGACTACATCTTTCCCCTTATAAATCACATAACGATTCATCAAACACTCAACCTTGACTCCAGGTGCCAGCCAATCAAAATGTGGAGGGACAGATGTGGTTTGGATAGTAATGTTTTAAGTAATTCCTTTCCATTCAGAGTGGATGCCCC